CTGAATAGCTCTCTTGGAAATGTAGCCAACTTGAATTCGCTAAAGCTTCCCTTGAGGTCAATCTCAGGCTGCAGAGAACCAGAATGAGGAAACTGGTGAAAAAAGCCCTGTCATCTCTTAGAACTACAACATCTGCTGCTGTGTTGCTCTTTTTATTTGAACTTGCCATTTTCCATGTCTACAGGTGTAGTTTTTTCTTTAGACCCAAATGCCAAGTTCCCACTCCACGATCGTTTCTTTCACATACTTAGAATTGAGTTCTAGGCCATTTTGATCACCTATGAGAACTGTATCTTTAACCTGGTCTTGCATGACAGCTTTTGTGATAATATTGTCAACAGTTCCATTTCTTTGAATGGATTATTTTCTTTGAATACCTCTTTCAGCTTGTTTACATTGTCACCAAAACAAGTAGTCACAGCGTTTGATAGATCATGGTGATGCTTTGAGCTGTGCATTTGCATGCCTACGACGGTTTTCACTTTAGCAGCCAAGCGACTCAATTCAGCTGCTATGAGAAACCATATTGCCAAAGCTGCTGGTTTTTGGGTCAAAACCTTGAAACCTCCTTGAATCTTCGTTGTTTGTTCTCGTGTTCAATTGCATGATCTGGTCCTATTGCACAAAATGGGATTGTTGACATATTAGTTCCCCTTCAGGAATTCTTCATGCAAAGCAGGATCTGAGCAAAGCAGGAATTGCTCCGGATCTGAGCAAAGTAGAGTGGTGCCATACGGACATAGTTAAGTCGATCAATAATTGAAGTGGAATACTTGCACAAGGACTGAAGTGATTCCAAATGAAGCTTCTAGTTGCATTCTCTAGTGGCACAAAGGAACATTCGTATACAAGCTGCAAACTTCATGTAGTCATTGGCAAACTTAATGTTAGGATATTGGGGATCAATCTTTTGTTAAAGTCATCTAGCCTCTCCTTGAATTCCTCTGTTTCTTTCTCTTATGATCTTTTTATGGTGTGTTCGAAGATCCTATTGACGTGGCCTCTCCTGGCAGGAAGTATTCATTGAGAAAGCAATGAGATACAATGTGACAACTCGCACCCCTTGACCATTTGAAGGTAAAAGGATACAAGAAAAAACATGATGTAGGACTGCTGCCCCCCCAAAAAAAAACACTAAAAAAGATGAAAAAAGACGCTAAAGGAAATGCTCCACAGACTGCTGCACAAACACCCAATGAAAAACTCAAAGATCCCAATCT